CCCGCCTAAGGGCTGCTGGAGGGCCCCTCGGCTGTGCCAGTGTCGGCACCGGGAAAGCGCCCGCTGTTCAGCCAGCTAGGGAAGGAGACGTCCAAGGTGGCTGAGACGTCTCCGTCCTCGGGGGAGTGAGGAGAAAACTCCGCTCTTAGAAGCTCCTGTGGCAGGCCTGGCGGCTGTCAGGGAGGCCCGCAGACATCCAGGGACCTGTCTCTGTGTGACGCTGTGCTTCGGCGGTCACGCTCCATGGCTACTTTCAACTTCTGCTTCTGCACCTGGTTCCTCTTTTCCTTAGAAGATAAGAATTAGTAACAGTAACATAAACCTTAGTGACCTTGCTATTTCTTGACAAGTGTGAAAAAGTGCTGACGCCTCAGGTTTTCTCCTCGCCTCGGCTTCTTCAGAGTCTTGGGCCCCCCATCTCCAAGACACGTGACTTACCTGACCCTGTCACTGACCGCCGTTACCTCACCCCACCTGCCCTGCCCCCTGCTTTGTGCTCAGTAAAAGTCAGAGCGCCCGGGCACTCGGGGCCACGGCCGGACTCCGCGCTTTGGTTGGCAGTGGACCCCGGGCCCAAACTCTCTTTTCTCTTTCTTGGTGTCTTGTGTCTTTTATTTCTGCAGTTTCTCATCTCCACACCAGCAGAGAGGGGCTCACGGGACCCCGCAGGGCTGGACCCTACATCCGTCTCTACTAAAAATACAAAAAAATTAGTTGAGCGTGGTGGTGGGTGCCTGTAATTCCCAGCTAAGAATTGCTTGAACCTGGAGGCAGAGGTTGCAGTGAGCCGAGAAGGAGCCACTGCCCTCCCGGCTGGGCAACAGGGTGAGACTCCGTCTCAATTAAAAGGATCTTTCTTTTTTTTTTTTTTTTTGAGACGGAGTTTCGCTCTTGTTACCCAGGCTGGAGTGCAATGGCGCGATCTCGGCTCACCGCACCCTCCGCCTCCCGGGTTCAGGCAATTCTCCTGCCTCAGCCTCCTGAGCAGCTGGGATTACAGGCACGTGCCACCATGCCCAGCTAATTTTTTGTATTTTTAGTAGAGACGGGGTTTCACCATGTTGACCAGGATGGTCTCGATCTCTTGACCTCGTGATCCACCCGCCTCGGCCTCCCAAAGTGCTGGGATTACAGGCTTGAGCCACCGCGCCCGGCAAAAGGATCTTTCAAAAAAGAAGAAGAAAAAGACCTTTGGGGTCAGGAGCCCAGGACTGTTGCGGGGGCCCCACCGTCCGGCCTGGACGGGAGCCGGCTGTGCTGCCCGCGGCGCCCCTGGTCACACAGGCAGGCCCCACAGTCCAGGGCTGTGCGCCCCCCCCCTCTGGCCCGGGTCTCCCCGCGCACGCAGCTGCTCAGAGGGACAGGTGGGCAGGACTCCGCACGTGGGGACGGGCACCCTCCTCCCCTCCCTGCCTCGCCCCAGCCACTCCCGCCCGCACCCCACCCCAGGGGGCCTCCCAGTGCCCAGGACCCCGTCTGGGAAAAGCTGTTTGTCCCGGGAGTGGGAAGAGACAGGAGGGTGCGCAGAGGGCAGGTCGGGAGTTCTGGGAACCGAGGGAGACGCAGTGTGGGGGGTGGGAGGCGGAGGTGAAGGGGGGGGGCGGGGAGCAGCGGGAAGAGGACCAGGCGGGAGGGGCCGGTGGCAGGGGCCGCAGGGACGGGCCCCAGGGCGGGCTGGGGGTCCCGGGAGCCCGCTTTCCCTCCCGCCTCTCAGGGACGCGCTGCGGAGGCGCGGCGGCTCCTCCCCAGGCCCCGAGCTCGGGGCGCCGCGCCGTCCTCCCTCCCCACGCGGCGCGGGGGGCCGAGGGCAGAGCCGGGACTGCCCCGGGCGCCCAGCAGGTGCCCAAAGCCCGCGCCCCGCGGGCCCCAGCGCCCCGGCCAGCCCGGGAAATGCACCTGCGGCCCGCGCGCGCGGGGGTCACGTGGCCGCCCTCCCCCCTCGCCTTAGACGGGAGGGCGGCGCCCCAGACCACGTCCCGCCCAGGAGGCCCCGAAGGGGACGTGGGGCACGGAGGTTGGCGTGGGGCCGATGGCTGCCCGCAGGCACACGCAGACCCCCGGGCGGCAGCAGTGGGTCTGGGGAGGGCGCGTGGGGCCCGGGGCACTGCCTGCAGCCCGGGGACCCTCCTCCGTGTGGAGGACTCGGCCCGCCCGACCTCTGCTGCTCGGGGGTCTCTGTGGGGCTGGAGCTGGCCGGGGAAGGCCCGGTCTTCCTCGGGGCCCTGCGTGGTGGGGGGGGCCCCGCGTGGTGGGGGGGGCCCCGCGTGGCGGGGGGGGCCCTGCGGGGGGGGGGGGGCCCGGGGGGGGGGGGGGGCCCCGCGTGGTGGGGGGGGCCGTGGCAGGGACCGCCGTCTACACGGTGTGTGCTGTGATCCCACGTCTCCCCCGTGCCCTGCGATAAGCCGGACTCCGGGAGAGGTGCCTGCTGAGCCTAGAGCAGGACCCTGGGGCTGCTGACTGGGGCTCCCTGGCTGGCTTGGGCGAGGGGCGTGCTGGAGTCGAAGGCTCCCCTGGGGAGCTCTTTCCAACTTTTCCTGGGCCAGCCTCCCCAAACCTGCAGTTGTGCTGGTGAGACAGCAAGCGGCCCTTCCACGGGCAGCGAGGCCGGGGACGGAGCCCAGCCCTGGAGCCCTCAAGTCCCCGGGGCCAGGCTCTCTGAGTGGCCAGGCTGGGGCTGCCACCTGGGGCAGGCTGCCGAGGCCCAGGGACTCCTGGGATGAGCCCAAGTCCCTTGTGAGCAGGGCTGGGTGGCAGGAGGCGGCGGCCAGGACGGGGAGCCTGGGGTGGGAGGAGGTGGCTGTCGGTGAGACTTGTTCCCAGTATATCAACGCGGATTCGAGATCTCTCAAAGTGATTGAGTGGTGGGTGAAAAGGAAAATAAAGACAAAGAAACAATTTTCTTCCAAGCTGGGCCCAGGGGAGACACCACATAAAGCCGCTCTCAGTTTTTGTTACGTTATTTCAATAGGGGAGGGTGAGCAAGGCTGCACAGAGTTCCAGCGATAATCATACAAAAAGAATACATTGGCAAAAACTGGTGCACAAAAATTACAACGTGGTCTTATAAAAGCAGAACAATGCAAAGATAACTTTCTGTGTGTCAGCACAGAAACCATGCACCTTAGCAAGAAGTGAGGTTAAACATAAACTTATGATTTATCAGCAAGAACACATTGGGCTCACAGCTGTGGGGGACAGGATCTGACACAGGACAGCCAGCCTGACCACAAAACTGCAGAGGAGGGGCCTCCACGCAGGCCTGGAGGAGCCGGGGGACAAGAAAGACTTTTACACCCTTGTCTCCACCACAGAGAAGACGCCCCCCAAGGTCCATTTATAGGCTCTCCATAAGGGCCGCATCCCCTTTCCAGGGCCCTAATCAATATGCCTCTCCTGGGAAGGAGCCCAGGTAATGAGCCTCTCCACTGCATGTCCGTGTGCAGGCTCTCTGCAATGAGAGGCCGATGACACGCTGTCTTCTCTCTCCGCGGCCAAGCTGTGTGGTTAATCCCTTTCACAGAGTTCCTGTTTTTCTCAGGGCCAAAGTTACAAGTTGCAGCTCAGCGTTTCACACCTTTCTTCATTTTCTCAAGTATAATCGAGACAGTAAGTAACAAGCATCACAAAGCAAATAACGCATTTCAGCGAAACCAAATTCTAAGAGGATTTACAGGTAAAAAATCAACAATTTCTTCTGTTATTTCAGATAGCTCAGGTTTTGCCAATTCTTCCAGAAGCTTGGGGTTGCTTAGTCACTGCCAAGGGGTCCATGGTATTCCCAGCGGGTGGCCAGGACAGGGACCCCGGGGGAGAGGCGGCCAGGACAGGGAGTCTGGGGATCTGGGGTGGGAGGAGGTGGCCAGGATGCGGACCTGAGGGGAGGAGGCGGCCCTGGCGGGGCTCACAAGACAGGTACACTGTGAGTGGGAGGCACCTGGCTGGGCCTTGGTGACTCTGTAACACGGGGCCCAGCGCCCACAGCCTCAGCTGCCTGTGGGGGTCAGGAAGGGGACTCCGCTCCCTGGACCCGTAGTCCAAGAGGTGTCAGGACAGCTGGAAGCCCCAAGTCTGCCAATGCCCTCCCTGCCAGCCCTCTTTTTAAATTTTATTTTTATATTTTTAGAGATGAAATCTCACTCTGCTGCCGGGCTGGGGTGCAGTGGCACGATCACAGCTGACTGCGGCCTCAAGCCCCTGGGATAAAGCATTTCCTCTCCCCTCAGCCTCCCGAGTAGCTGGGACCGCAGGCGTGCACCATCACACTCAGCTAATTTTATTATTTTTTATAGAAATGGAGTCTCACTACATGGCCCAAGGTGATCTCAAACTCCTGGGCTCAAGTGATCCTCCCTCCTTGGCCTCCCGAAGTGCTGGGATTATAGGCGTGAGCCTCTGCCCCCGCCTGCCAGCCCCCTCTTTCAGGCAGGACCTGCATGGGGGCCACACTCTCATTAATGGGGTTTCCCAACCCTGCCCCTCCCTCTGGGCAGAGGCCACCTTTGCCATGCCCCAGCTATCCTCACCTGGGTGATGGGGTGCTCTGCAGGTCCCAACCTGCCCCTGCTCCGGCCACCTCCACCCCTGCCCTCCTGGCCGCAGGCCCCTCCCTGGTCCTGTTCTTGCTCAGGGCCAGGCCCACGCTGCGGGTCAGGCATGTGGGGAGCCGGGTGGGGTCTGGCAGGCCTAGGCCCTGCAGGAGGAATGCCTGGCCTAGGCTGCAGCTGGGTCTTGTGCCTTAGGGCTGTGGTAGGTCACGCTCTCTGCCTGGGACACAACATTCCAGGACAGGGAGGGAGGCTGGGGCGGGCTGTCTGGGCGTCTGAACCCCCAGCATGGGCACTTGGAAGGGGGCCAACAGGATGCAGGGCCTCAGGAATGACAAGACGAGGTGGAAGGTGGCCCTGAGGCGGCCTCCTACCCACCTGACTGGAACCCGAGACCCCAGGCCGGTGGGTGGGACCTGAGGAGAGCCCGCCCCACCCAGCCCACCCCAGGCCTGCCCTGGGCACCACCTCTCCTGCCAGGCCTCAGGAGGGAGGCAGGGGGCGCGTCCCCTTGGGAGTGGCACCTGCCAGGTACACACATAAAGAGGTGGGTCTGTGGTCACCCTGCCCATAGCCACTTCTTCTCTCTGTCCCTGTGGGCCCGGCAGCTGCCAAGATGAGGCCACCGTGCGGCCTGTGGCTTTGGCTCTCCTTGCTGAAAGTCCTTCAGGGCCAGACCCCAACGCCCCTGCCACTCCCTTCCCCGATGCAGAGCTTCCAAGGAAGCCAGGTACGAGGCCACAGCTTCCAAGGAAACCAGGTGCAGGGAGAGGTGGCTGAGCAGGCCTCGGGGTGCTGCCCGGAAAGTCAGGACCAGCCCTGCTCCCGGGTGGGCCCCCGACCTCCAGCAGAGGATGACCCAGTGCAGACTCGCCTGGCACCCATCCCTTTCCCTACCACTCCCCCCTCCCATTGCTCCCTCTGTGCGTGAGGGGAAACTGAGGCCCAGGAAGGCCGCACAGCCGCTGGCCAGGGTCACCGTGTCCCTGCCAGACCCGGGTCGGCTCCTGTTCCTACCAGTGTCCCTGGCGCTGGAGCGCTGCTCTGTGAGGGACCCTGGCCCAGAAGCTGCCAGGGAGGGCGGGAGGGGGCTCCCGGCCGCACCCGTTGCCCCCCTGCAGTTCCAGGGGGAGTGGTTCGTCTTGGGCCTGGCGGGCAGCAGCTTCAGGCCGGAGCACAGGGCGCTGCTGAGCCCTTTCACCGCCACTTTCGAGCTCAGCAAGGACGGCCGCTTTCAGGTCTGGAACGCCATGACGCGGTGAGTGGCCATTCCTGCCCCCCGCCCTGATCCAGGCAGGCGAGGAGGATCCCAGGCCGGGTCCAGCAGCCTGAGGCTCAGGTGTGCCAGGGGCCCTGTCTCGTGACTCTGCTGCCAATGACCAAACCCAGCTCGGGAGCATACAGAAAAGTGCAGGCGGCTGGGCGCTGGCTCACACCTGTGTCCAAGCACTTCGGGAGGCAGAGGCAGAAGGAGTTTCAGGCCAGCCTGGGCGACGCAGACACCACCTCCGCTCATGACGCTTGGCCACTCCCGCCGTGGGTCCCTCTGAATGAGCGGCCGAAATCTTCTGGGGGGGCCCACCTTGGCACGGAGCTGCCAGCTTCCGGAACCTTCTGCCTCCACCCGTCCCCTCCCACAGAGGCCAGCGCTGTGACACATGGTCTTATGTGCTGATTCCGGCCGCACAGCCCGGGCAGTTCACTGTGGACCATGGCAGAGGTCAGCGGGTCACAGCAGGGAGGGACAGGGTGCCGGCCCACAGGGACATGACGTCTGTGTCCCCTCAGAGCCCGGGGCGGACAGAGAGGAGACCTGGGTGGTGAATAGCGACTACACCCAGTTCGGGCTGATGCTGTCTCGCAGACACACGGGCAGCCTGGCCGTCCTCAGGATCAGCCTGCTGGGTGAGCCCCTGCCCCACCCCGGGCCTGTATTGGCCCTGGAGGCCCCTCCTTTCTGGGGGTCCCAACCCTGCCTCCCCACCCAGCCTGGAGCGACTTAGGGGTACAGATAGCTTAATCTCCCCGTACTCACCCTGGCCACCCACCCACTGCCAAGTGCGCAGACCCACGCTGGGCTCCCTGGGCTGCAGGCAGGAGCTGGTTCCTGCCTCCCGGGACACTGGACCAGTTCATCTGCCTGGGCAGAGCTCATGGCCTCTCGGACGACAACATCGTCTTCCCAGATGTGACTGGTAAAGGGCTCGCCTGCAGCAGGCTGGGCAGTGGGCACCGGGCCTGCCAGAATGAGTGGTTGACCCTAGAGGGGCTGGACCTGGGGTCTGCCCATGGAGCTCCCTCAGCCTGCACTCAGGGGTCTCAAGGCTCCTGGGTCCCTGCCCTCAACCCAGGTTCTAAGCCACCTCCTCCCAGCCTGGGTCCCCTATCCTAGTGACCTTCTTCCCTCACCCAGCCCTGCTTACAAAGAGCTTGGGTGTCATCCCAGGTGGTGTCCTGGGCCTCAGCAACCTGCCCCGGGTGGCCGCCCCAGCCTGGCCACTCAGAGAGCCTTGGCTGCCAAGGCTTGACTCTTCTTGCATAAGGGCAAGGACAGCCCCCAGCACCTCCTCTTCCAGGAGCGTTGCCCATCATGCCCTTCTGATTCCTGCCTCTTGTCCTTTACATGTGCATAGCCATGTGCACACACACGCATGTGTAAATGTGTACAGACCGGCACATGCCTGCACATGCAAACACCCACTTAGACACACATGCACTCATACTTGCTCACATGCTGTATACTCATGCAAGGCACCTACACACACCTGCACACTCCTGCCCATACCTGCAGGCTCTTGCACACACCTGCCCACACCTGCACATACCTGCACGCTCCTGCCCACACCTGCACACACCTTCAGGCTCCTGCACACACCTGCACGCATCTGCACACACCTGCCCGCACCTGCACACACCTGCACGCTCCTGTCCACACCTGCACTCACCTGCACACTCCTGCATGCACCTTCATGCTCCTGCACACACTGACATGTACCTGTACACTCCTATACGCACCTGCTCACACCTGCACACGCTGGCAGGCACCTGCATGCTCCTACACACACCTGTATGCTCTTGTATGCATCTGCACACATCTGCACGCTCCTGCACATACCAGCATGCACCTGTGCACTCCTGTATGCACCTCACCTGCACGCTCCTGCCCACACCTGCACACACCTGCATGCACCTGTGTGCTCCTGTATGCACCTCACACACCCTGCACGCTCCTGCACATACCTGCATGCTCCTGTATGCACCTGCTCACACCTGCACACACCTGTATGCTTCTGTATGCACCTGCTCACACCTGCACACATCAGCATGCACCTTTGTGCTCCTGTATGCACCTCACACACCTGCACGCTCCTGCACACACCTGCATGCTCACTGTGCCAGGCCTCCTGGGTCTGCAGTGAGTCTGGGGGCCCATGGGGACAGGTAGGGCCAGGTGAGGGGCTTCCTGAGGACCCAGGGCTGTTGGCAGGACAGCCCCTGTGGACCACATCCTCTGCCCCTTCCCGCCTCCCCCACCCCAGCCCCTTCCCTTAAGCCCACTGCTGGTCCCCTTCCTTTGCTCCTTGCCTGAAGCCACCTGTCCCCTCCTTTGTACCCCGGCTTCATCCTGGGCTCTGTCCCCCGCTGCCGCCTTGTCCTCCGTCTCTGCTCCATGTCCCCCACCAGGCTTGTCATCCCAGGCCAGTGGCTGTTGAAGCATGAAGCAGCTCCTGCCGCGCCCAGCCCTGCCTCACAGCTTCCAGCTCTGCCCTCCTCTGCTCTCAAACCTGAATAAATGCACCAAGCCCGGAGCCCCAGAGTGTGACCACTGTGACCTCGGCTGGGCAGGGGGACAGGGACAAGGAGACCACTGACCCTGCAGGGCCAAGAGAGCTCATTCCCTGGTCCCCCACGGCTCCCCCCAGCTCAGAGCTCCTTCTCTGGCACCCCACGGCCCCCTGCCGGCTCCCTCCAGCCAGTGTGTATGTGTGTGTCAATGAGAGTGTGCACACGTGTGTTCATGCGTGAGTCTTTGCACATGGTTGTGGGTTGTTGGCAGGGCAGCTCCTGTGGGCCACGTCCTCTGCTCCTCCACTTGGGGCCACCGTGTCAGGTGCAGCCAGGCTGGAGCTTGCCCCGGGAACACTCGGCCCCTGAGGTGTCCCAAGCAGTGGCCGTGCTGTCAGGCAAGCTCACCAGGAGCTCCCAGGGCCCCAGAGCAGGAGGAGGCCCTGATGCGGATGCCCCAGGACTGGAAGAGGAGATGTGGGGACAAGCAGCTGCAGACTGGAGCCTGCTGGGCACAGAGACACAAAGGGCCTGAGGCCGCAACACAGAACCCCAGCCGGAGTCCCCCAACCCTGACTGTACACCTTGCAAGACGGCTGCATTTGGAAGCCCAGCCCCAGCGGCAGCCTATCTCTCAGTGCTCCCATGTCTGTGTCCATCTTGGCCCCCACTGTCCTCCAGGCAGGGAGAGCAGGGCAGTGCCCAGGGCAGCCATGGACCCTCGTGGTCTCTGGCCTTGCTAGAGAGCGGAGGGCATCCAGAGGCCCCCACCTTGTCACATGTGCAGGCACGTGCCGGTCTGTACACATTTGCACATGCATGAGTGTGTACGCACATGGCTATGCACATGTGAAGGACCAGAGGCAGGAAGCAGAAGGGCACGATGGGTGCCCCGCTTTCACCCACTGGGAGTACCCTGCTGCTCAGGAGCCTGGCCCTGCTGAGAATCCTTCTACCACCATGTGCACCCCTGCCGGGCAGGCTGTGTGACATCCAAGCAGATTCTGAAATTGGAGGATGGGCAGAAACAGCAGACATCCTGGAATCCCTCCCTGCCCTGATGACCCCAACAAGGTGGACCCCCAATATCAACTCAACGACACCTGTGGTGCTTACTGCAGCCACAATTCAACTTTCTCTGTGTGTCTGACTCCCCAGCACGCAACCCCCACAAGGCCAGGTACAGGCCTGCTGTGTCCATCCCTCTATCCCACATTCCAGCATGGCACCTGGCACAGAGAAAGCTGCTGAATGATGGGTGGATGGATGAATGGATGGGTGTGTAGATGGTTAGCTAGATGGATAATTAGACGATGAGTGAGTGGGTGGATGGATAGATGAGTGGATAAATGGGTGGGTAGGTGGATGGATGGAAGGATGGTTGGATCATGGGTGGATGGATGGATGGATGATGGGCAGGTGGGTGATGGATGGATGGTTGGATAAGGGGTGGGTGGATGGATGGGTGGATAGATGAATGGTGGGTGATGGATGGATGGATAAGGGGTGGGTGGATGGATGGGTGGATAGATGAATGGTGGGTGATGGATGGATGGATGGATAAGGGGTGGGTGGATGGATGGGTGGATGGATGAATGGTGGGTGATGGATGGATGGATGGATGGATAAGGGGTGGGTGGATGGATGGGTGGATAGATGAATGGTGGGTGATGGATGGATGATGCTTTTTTACTCTTGTTCTTGTGCCCTGGATGAGGAGGCTGAGGTTTAAAGCAGCAAGTCTGGTTGTGTCTGGATTGAGAGACTTTCTGTACTGGATGGTCACGAGGACACAAGCCTGGGTGTCAGGAATCCTGGACCACGGCCTGGCATGTGTTGAATTTGACCCCAGGAAGGCTGAAAGTGACGGTAGCTGTCTTTTGGCAGAAGGGGCCTGTTGATGTTCCTTCCTGAACACATCAAGGAAGGTTCACTGCACCCTGGGGTGGGGGTCAGACACAGGGTCCCCAGAGTGGTGGCCTCACTCTTTACCACCTCAGCCCCTCCCCTCACCTCTCCTCCTGCTGGGCCACGGTGTACCCATGGATGAGACTTGCTCTGCAGGGCCAGGACCTGCGCCCTCACAGCCTGGGGCCGCGGCCACACCCTTACCTGATGCCCGGCTGCAGCAGGGGATGGCTGCTGCATGGGGTCCAGGCAAGGATCGGGGCCAGAAGACAGGAGAGGCCTGGGGAGCTCAGCTTGAGCAAGGAGCCCCGCCCCGCGCTAACAACCTAAGAGAGACTCCGAGGCCGCCTTCTCCCTCCTGACCTGGCACAGCCTTTGCCAGTGGGAATCCTCCAGTCCCTCTGCACAGATGGTTCCGGAAGGCTGCCTGGTCGCTTGGTGGGGTCACCCTCCCCTGCCAGCTTCCCTTCCCCAAAGCAGGGAACACAACCCTGGTTGCAAGACCATGACCACCCTTCCCCCCCCCCCCTTCCCCCTCCCCCTCCCTGATGTCGTCTCTGTGCATAGCCCAGCACACTCCCCCTCCCTCCACGTCACCTTCTGGGGAGAAAAGATGCTGCCTAGGCCTGTGTTCCTTCCCAGCTCCTCCAGGGAGGGCAGGCTTCAGGCCTGGTTGGATCCAGGACCTCGGCCACCCTCTTCTGCTTCACTGGCCCCGGCAGGAGCAGCTGTGCAGTCCCACTGGCCCACCTGGCTCCCACCTGGGCTGCAGGATAGTGTCTCTCCCAGAAGTCCTCAGTCCTGGGTGGAGGCTGTGTCTCACATCAGTGGTCAGGGGGCCCCTCCATACAGCACTCTCTGCCTTGGACTCTGGCTCCCACAGCCCCTCTCGTCCCATCTCTCCTGGGGTGACACAAGTCTCTGGCCCTGATGGTAGCCCCGGTGTGAACCTCCTCCCTCTCAGGTCCCCCAGGGGCACCAGCACCTCCCGGCCAAAGGCCCCTTCCCATGTCTTGCCTGCACTAGGGGACAGGGCTGGGAGCAGGCAGGTGGTCCAGGGATGTCTGCCCACATGTGCCCAGCCCACAGGCCTGGGGCCAGACACAGACCAGAGACAGTGCCCACCTGCCCACCTGTCTGCTTGCTGGAGTCCACCCAGGCTGGCCGAGTGGGGTGGGGTGTCCTGCTGGACCCTGTGCCCACGCCCCACACCTCAGCCCAGGCCCCTGCGGGTGGCCGATCGAATCTCTTTATCCTGGCTGGAGTGGAGCTGCTCCCAGCTCACCACCTGGGCCTGCTGGGCCCGGGAACAGCCTGTGCCTGCGCCTCCCACAGAACAGGGTCAGTGGGGCTTGAGGACGGGGGGGTCTGGGTGGAGGGGCTGCTCCCAGGGCTGGTTTTCGGCCCTCCAGGGGCTACCATGACCTCTAGGCTCAGCACCCCGAGGTGGCAGAGGGGGCTGTTACCCGAAGGCAGCTGTGGTTCCTCTCGGCCGTGTCCAGGGCCCCGCCATGGCCACATAGAGCCCCTGCCTGCGACAGTGACCGCAGGAGCCTGGGCCTGCCACAGCAGCCACAGAGAGGCCACCCAGGGCTCCTGCTGAGTATGGTGGGCTCCAGTGGGAGGCAGCTCCCACATGGCACACGGAGGGGAGGGGCCCTCTGGCCTCGCCCCACGACACCCCTTCCCGGGGCTCATGTCCCCTCCGGCCACCCTACCCATGGGGCACCTTCCTTCCCCAGGCTGTCCCACAGGACAAGCGCTCTGCCGTGCCCACTCAGACGCCAAGGGGCAGCCCAGGGGAGGCTGGGCAGGTGGGGACGGGGCTTGCAAGTCTGG